CTTAGACTTAGTGACCCCAGAATCTGGCAGTATACACTCTCTGTGTGACCACCTCACTTGTTCTACCCCTACTGGTGCTCTTCCCACAGCAAGGGTTGGCCATTTCCCTTCTCTCCAGCAATTTCTGACACTCCCGTGGTCTTGACTCCATTCCTTGGCTGCTGAGGGGCCTACCTTGGTGGACCTCCTCTCCCTCGACCTTGGTTCAGGCGCCAACAGGTGGCCGCCCTATGCCCCCACTGTCCACGTATATAGCACTCTCCCTGGAATGGGTCTAGGACAACTGGCCGCCGCCATCTGGCCGCAGCCCAACTGGCCGCGGGAAACTCGCCGCGGCCGACTGGCCGCCATATGGAACTTTTTGTTGACAACCTAACCTAACCTAACCTAACCTAACCAAACCTAACCTAACCTAACCTAACCTAACCTAACCTAACCTAACACAGAGCGCAAAAATAGGCGTTTGCAGTTTACCCCCAGTCCGCGGCGGCCAGTCGGCCGCGGCGAGTTTCCCGAGGCCAGTTGGGCTGCGGCCAGATGGCGGCGGCCAGTTGTCCCATTCCCCCCTGGAATGGTAGTAGCCTTCCCTTATTAAAATGTTTAACTTCCGGTGACCCCTTAAGTTGGACTAGGTCTGTCTTCACAGCCTGAATATCTACTCGTAATTCAGCAAGCATCTTCTCCACCCCACTCTCTTGAGGTACACTTCCATGGGGGTTCAATGTTTCTCCCACTTCCTTAACCACGGGCGAACATTCGCTTATAGCTGTAACCACACCCTTAGATGGGTTCTTTTCCTTAATTGTCTGCTTTGTCGTCTTCTTTGACTCTTCTGCAGCTACCTGTACCAATTCCTCATAAGACATTCCAGGCCGGCCACGCAAATACCAACGTAAGCCACTCTGCAACCCTTGATCCCTTAAGCCCTTAAGAAAAATCTCTTTCAAATTGTCCGACCTACTGACAACTTGCGTGGGGGCTACTTTAACTATCTCCTCATGCAGCGTCTCAAGAGCATCTGAATAGGTCCACACATTTTCCAATACACCCGAGTCCTCTGATAAAGTCTAAAATGGATTTCCCCCAGCGTCAGATTTTCTCCATAAGTATCCTTTAAAACTGCGAGAACCCCTTCACTATCACAACTGTCACTCCAAGCCAATTTTTCTACCCTTTTCTGAGCAGGACCAGTGAGAAATTTAAGAATATAGTTGACTGACCCTCTACCCTTGTAGCCAAGCAACCTTATGTTACGTTTGGCCTCAGCTATCGACTCACATACATTAATTTGGTCTAAATTATCAGGAGTCCCCGAAAAAGTCTTGAGGTTCATCTCATGGGCTACCACTTGAGGGAAAGTATCAACACTGTCCTCTTTGTGCATAGGCTCACCCCTCTGTTCAGACTGTGAGACCCCAGTTTCCATCTTAACACTCTAAGTGGGACTGCTCACCCCCTGTTCCATCTGGTTTGTGAGTCTTTGCACTTGATTACATTAGGGTAGGATACTCTGATGATACAATTCACTTATCTCCGAGCTTCTCAAGTCTATCAAATTCTCCTCTGGAACGTGATGTGGGGATGGGTAACTCATGCTTGGCTGCTTCCACATCCGTCCCCCTCTGTGTAGGGAACTGCTTCACCGGTCCAAGCTCTCCCTCCGCTGTTGATCCTCAGCAGGTGGTGGTGCCGTGCTCCTCCCCGGGTGATTTCGGCTATAATAACTACTGCCTGGGTGCTGCTTGTTCTTTGCTCTATGGGGGTCAATCTCTACTTACTTATGCAAGCAATTGCATACCCCGCATCTCCACCAAGTGTAGCAAAGCACAAAGCAGGGATAGGACACACACTTGTAGTTTTCTCTCATTTATTTACTCTGGAAATCACCCGAGAAGGAAAAGACTGGGACCTTGATCAGACATAACTAGTTATGATACATTATTACGTTATACTTACAAAACAAGCATCAACTGTTGTCATATTCACATATTGGTACCACACAGTAGTAGGAATTAAACAATAAATAATAAACCCAACCCGCCAGCATAACACAGGGGAGTGGCTGTTGTTGTCTACTCACTCCAGGGTGAATGTCTGTAGAGCAAAGCTAGAATTAGCCTTATTCTGGCTTACAGACTACCTCCACGAGATCATCACATTCTTCCTATAACATTTATTATGCTCAATCTATCAAACACAACCTATCAGAGCAAAAAATACGTGGGCACACCTGTTACTGGGCCCACCCGACGCGTCTTTGTTATGTAAACAACGCCGTAGCGTCTCTCCACCCCGGGCTGGGATGCATTCGCTCCTGCGCAAATTCCATTTCAGACCCACAAAATATATTTAGGTTATCCTCCTCGGAGCTTACACAAATACATATCCATAGCAATAGTATTCTAAATCACAAAATAGTTGTCTCTCGAGTTCCTCATACCACATATATATATATATATATATATATATATATATATATATATATATATATATATATATATATATATATATATATATATATATATATATATATATATATATATATATATATATATATATATATATATATATATATATATATATATATATATATATATATATATATATATATATTAGTTCTGGAGCTAATTAGTGGCTTGGCTGAAGTGAACACTGCAGGTACTGAGTTAAGTTGAGAGTATATTGTACCTTCTCTGCTTAAGGAAGTGTCTTAGTGCACTTATATAGAACACTTAAGTGTTTACTGGGTAACTAAGTGATATGAGTCTGCCCGCTCTCTCCTGCTCAGGCGTGAGACACAAGGAGGAGCAGGCGAGCTATTTGCAAAATCAGCTTGACCTGTGGCTCAACCTCTGATGAGTACAGACCTCAGCCGTTACCAACAACAACTGAGTCATGATCGAATAACTTAGTGAATAATTGGGTATTATACATTTGGGTGAATATTTATATAATGCAAATGATGCTGTTACAATATCACTCAACAATATAATTAGGATAACTTGGATAAATATATACAGGGTCATTTATTGATTCAACAACCCCAAATAAATACCATATTCTAGGACGTGTAATAAACAGCCTTCTTAGTAAATATGACAAATTTTGTGACAGGAGGTACCGGTATGGCCAGCATAAGGACAGAACCAGACAATGTGATGTAGTCGTGGCCAGAATTAGGCTAGGATACAGACACATCTGGCAAGTTAGTAACGCTGTACCCATACCGGAACATTCAGCATGTAAACTTTGTGATAAACCTTTAAAGCATACACTTGAACACTATATTACTGAATGTGACACTGTCAAAGACTTCAGGCCACCTGACTTATTGTATCTTGAACTATGTAATTACTACATTGAATCAGGGGTGCTTCAGGACATTCTTGCTGTTTATCCCAAATTTGCTAGCCCACACTGATTAGTCTTCAATTAGAATATGACTCCAATGTATGTGATCCACTGACCTATATATGCTGCTGGTGAATGTGATGTATTTCCTTCTTTGTGTACGAACCTCTGTCCTGCGTGGCAGTGAACAGTGGCACTACCCACATGAATCTGACCTATATATAGTGTCAATGAATATGATGCCTTCTTTGTGTACGAACCTCTGTCCTGTATGGCAGCGAAGAGTGACATTACCCACATGAATCTGACACACACACATATATATATATATATATATATATATATATATATATATATATATATATATATATATATATATATATATATATATATACACTGTCAATGAATATGATGCATCTCTTTGTGTATGAACCTTTGTCCTGCGTGGCAGTGAGAAGTGATAACACCCTCAGTGTCAAAACCTGACTGAATTACTCAGAATAGGCAATCTGTACTACAAGCTTTGCCAATAAATTTGTTAAACTTAAAATTGAAGCCTCCTCGATTAATACAAAAATAACCATTGACCCTGTGTAATTAACTCCACTTACCTTGAGCTATAGACAGGATATAACCTCGCCTTCTCACCCCTGTTATCTTACTGCCGCGCCCCGCTTAGTGCCCTTACTTTTTAAACATTAATAGATAACACGCAGTTGCCAGTGAGGGATAACAGTGTATTAGTGTATTCTACCGCAAATAAACACATAAATGATTAATATAAACTAAGAATAATGATAATTTAATTTAAAAGTATTGTTAAATAATAAATACGGTATTTTAAGTATATCGAGTCATGACATAATTGACGAGGCTTTCTGTTATTGTTGTGGTAATCTAGAGACATGTGTTGTGTCTCCTTCTTTCACTTTTATCTATTAAGTTTCATTCATTTTTCAGTAGATTATAGATTATTGATATACTATATGTGGGTGGATAGTTATAATAGTCATAATAGTAGTGGGAGTGTAATAGTACAGTGATAAATGGTTAATCTCGTAAGTCTCAGTCAAAATGGCCGCCCTGATACTTCCTAGTGATGGACGTTTCTGCTCTTAGCTACAGATATTTGTGAGAAAATTGACAATATTGATTTAAATTTTCATAATCCTTTTGTTTTTTCATAGTTTTTGTGGAAATGCGAAATATTTTAATCCTTCTTTCTTTATCCTACGTAAACTTACCAGTGTCGTTCACAAACTCTGTTTTAAAATTATCGATCAAATATTTTTTTAATTTCTGAAAACGATAATGAAAATGACTTTATTTTCTATTTTTTTCAGAAGAGGTAAGTTGTCAGTCATACACAAAGGTCCATTACTCTTAACTCGCCGTCACTCCTCAGGTAAGGATTGTCTCTCCTCTTGTGATTCTTAAATAGATGGATAAATGATTCTGGTTTTTATTGAGTACTGGATGAAGTATTATTATTATTTGTATTACTATTGTTATTGTTGTTATTATTAGTTGAGGACTCCAGCGAGAGACAGCAAATGGCCCCCAAAAAAAATAAACAAAAAACAATCTTAATAACGAAGGAAAACAAAAACACTGGTAATACTTAACGAGAAGGACACATTAAACATCTGTTAATATATCAAGTACTTTATTATTATCTATATCTTAGCTCATATATACAATCAAATATATATGTAAGCTTATTAATTTAGATATATAGACAGATATATAGCCTAATATATGGACAGCTTGATATTACTAAAACAGTACAGGGATAATTAGTCGTCTTGGTGTATGACATTATATTTCGTGAGTTTAATTATTTCAAGATGTACTTTTAGGAGGAGGAAGTTGTTTGATTTGATTTTTGTCTTGTGCAACAAAGTGATTTATTTTTTTCTTATGCAACAACGTGATTTATTTTTTTAATGCTTCTACTTTGTGATTTTACTTCTGCAACATGTGATTGGGTAAGGCTGAAGTTGGGAGATGTTGGTCGGTTTTCCATAACACATTCTCAAGACACACAAACTCCCGTAAGGTTCTGGGGTAAAGGACTTGGGTGTTTACCTATTATCTGTCTGGAAAGAGAGCGTCTCATAGGACCTGTGGGTTTTTTATGTCAGTTTGTCAGGTTATGAGAAGCAATTCCACCGTCGTCATAGTTTAGTAGTTATGCCACATTTCTTCGGTATGTTGGAGGACGACCAGGAGGACTCGAGGAGCAGTGTTGTGGGACAGCGTTGATAGGAGGAACCTTAATCCTTGTCGGAGTGTTGTATGTGAGGACTCAGGATGACTTTTGACGATCTTGTAGAGACGTGACCTTAGCCAAACACACTACGTACTGCACCTTCTTCCTGAAAACAGTATATTCATTAGTTTATCTGGACAAGAGAGAAATGTTGGGATTCTTGATAACTTAACTGGAGGCATCAATGGGCTGGCCAACACACAAGGGACCGTGTTTAGTGGATTACTTTGCACCGCCGCGTCAGTACTCGACACCTGTGACATGAGTATTGTGGGATTTTCATTAAGTTAAATATAGCTAAAACAAAAATCTTCCTTCACGGAGATTTATTATCGTTTAGTAGGTGATGACAGATTGGTATTTGAGTATGTGGCGGCCTAGTGGTTGTATCACTTGCCTCAACGATCGGTGATTCTGTTCCCGAGGCCGGCTACTGTGTAGGTACCCCTAGTCGACCCAGTTGCAGAATGTATACCTGACTCTATATAGTAGTTGGGAAGTAAATGGCGAGGCGTGTGGTATGGGCCTCGCTGTTTTCGTGTGTAACATTGACAGTTTATATATTACCTATTACATGTTTGTTGGGATGTTGTTGTTGTTGATGGTGGCTGGCGGGGAAGGAGGGCAGTAGGGCTGTACGACAACTTCAAACACTTCCTGCTTCTTCTTCTTGTACTCTGCCAGCCGCACGATGCCATACCTGGAGGTCCCGGGAGAATTTTAGTTTAGTTACCCATTCAACGTTTTCTGTATATAGACCCGTTTTCTATATTTAGACCTTGCGAGTAATTCATTATAATATTTTGACTATTTACGTCCTCATATGTACACACACCATCAATTGGATTTTCTTTTTATTTAGCATTTCAAACTTGTCAGTGTAATGTTCTTGTTATTACTTTCATTGTCTAGTGTTAAGAGAAGTTATCAATACGCAAAACTGCCTTATGTTTTTGGAGGAAGAGTTTTGAAGTGTTGTAATCACCCGCTAGAAGATGTTGTGTGTTGTGACGAGAGTCTAGACCAACACTGACCGCCACATGTTCAGGGTACTGTTGAGGACATCACCACTCTTTACCCGCTCTCCGTGGAAATTTCCCCAACTGTACACGTAAGAGCCCGTACATTCCTAGTACTTGTCAATGATATATAACAGAGAAGAGACCGACCGGGTAGTGAGGTTGTAGACTAACACTTACTGTATATAGTCGAAGTCTATGGAGGAGTGACAAGCCTGGAGGAAAGCCCACATAACCCAGAAGAGATGAGAAGCCAGGGTGAACTTGGTGACCCAGCCTAACCACATCTCCACCTCCTGGGACGTGACCTGATCTTCTGGCAGCCCGTGGTAATGCGCCAAGTAGCTCTTTAGCCACGCCCTCTGTACAGCAAGACTCGGGAACAGGCTGTAATCTTGCTCCTCGACCCCTGTAACACCAACCCTTCGTCAGTAGAATTATTGTTGTTTGCTAGGTCTTAGTTTTAGCATCGTTCACTGGGTCTTAGAGTAGCCAGAAGGGCGAGAGAAGTGGTATGATGATGATGATGATGATGAAGGAGTTGTGAGGGAGTGAGGAAGAGACGAGGTAACGGGAGGAAGGGAATAGAGAGATGAGAAGGATTAGAAGGGTGCGCATGTGTGTGTGTGTGTGTGTCTGTAAAAGTTAACTTGAGTACAAACGTGCAGAAATGTTGTTGTGGGATGGTGACACTGCCCGACTCCTCCTCTACTACTACTACGGTGTTTTACATAGCCAAATAAACAAAATGATCACATGAAGATTAGGCACCCCAGTTTATTTCACCTGAAGATTAATCCTCTAATTCTCACCACACACACACACACACACACACACACACACACACACACACACACACACACACACACACACAAAAGACCTCCTCACCAGAATATTCATTAAAATGGTTAGCGATATCATAAGGTTGGTAGTTGTGAGAAGCGTATTCATAGTCGATGAAGGTGGCTGAGGCAGAGTCCTGGTCCCAGATGATGTTCCTCATGACCAAGTCGTTGTGGCAGAAGACGACGGGGCAGGAGAGGGGCACAAGGTGGTCCTCCAACTCCTCTGTCATCCTCACGAGTTGTTCCCTGGTGCAGCCTTCAGCCTCCACCCTGGATCAAACACAACACGGTGAAAATAGTGGTAATGGGACTAATACCCGTGACTAATCGATAACTAGGCCAGTTATGTGACGCACTTGGCCAGGTTATGTGACGCACTTGGCCAGGTTATGTGACGCACTAGGACAGGTTATGTGACGCACTAGGACAGGTTATGTGACGCACTTGGCCAGGTTATGTGACGCACTTGGCCAGGTTATGTGACGCACTTGGCCAGGTTATGTGACGC